CAGCTGCAGGAGGAGAAGAAGACCGATCCGAACAGCTACGATTACAAGCCCGAATGGATTAGCTACTGGAAGGACAGACGCGTTGAGCTCTTCAACATTGCCGTCGCAAAAATCAAAAAAGATCTAAAGGAAAAATTCAAGTTGACCGACGAGGATGAGGAGAAGACGAAGGATCTCATGGAGCGCTACAAGATACGTGTCTCCAGTCCACGAGAGGTATCAGCCGGCCCTGCATCCAGCGGCTCCCATGTCCGCCGTAAGCCGAATTTTCGCAACAATCGAGGTGGCGTCGACGATGCTGCTGAAACTGTCATTGACATCAGCGATGACGAAGCGCCCAATCCATCAATGCGCAATCGAGCGCACTATAGACCCTCTCGCTCGCTTTCAAAGTCGCCCAAGCGTGGAGGTGGCCGTCATCCAGGATCACGCAGATCACGCAGCCGCTCGTCGCGGCGACACTACAGCAAACACAACGAGTTCCGTAGCACTTATTCCCGCAGCCGCAGCCCACAGCGTGGTCATCGCTCCAGATCGCCTGTGTACTATCATCGCCGTAACATGAATCATCGGGTTTTGTCATCGAGTCATGGACGATCGCGTGATGGCTACTCGGATCGTCGCAGCGGTGATCCAGAGCGGCGATCCAGGGACAGGGAGCGCACGAATGATCCTGATTTCTATCGCAGCGGTAGCTATAGCCGTGCGAGTCATGGGCCATACGAGCGCATGGAGACATTCCGTGTGATGGACTCGCGTGTCTATCCCGAATATAGTTTGCCTAACAAGACACGCTCCAAATCGCCGCCAAGCTCGAAGGACAAGGATAAGGAAAAAGATGCAGAGCTGCTGGCCGACGATGGACCCCTCACTGTGGTGAGTGTTCTGCGCATGCTATCCGCCGTTGAGGATCATTTGGGTAGTCTCGGTCCTAAGGCATTGAGTCTGCTCAGCAAGGCACTGGCCATGGAGATGGTGCGGGCGAACGCGGCCGATGATCTCCTACTAAACGATGATAATTGTGTGCTCTTGGAGACAATCAAAGAAAAACTGAAGGGCATCCTCATAGCCGAAGTGCTGGATGATCCGCAAAAAGTGCGCGTTGTGAAAAAGTTGATCACGAATATAGCGGCCATCATCTTTCAAGTGAAAGCCAAAGGTAAGTCGAGAAACCCAATTCATTTCTACTTTCAATTAACTATAAGTAGAATGTACATAAAACCGTCCAACAAAACATATATACATATATGCATATATGTATATACATATATAGTTGGTATTATCTGCGTGTGTGCGGTAAGTATTTAGTGTTCTGTTCTGTGTTCAGTAAAAGTAAAAGGTATTCCCCATAGGCTTAGTATTTTTGTATATTCCTTGTGTCCCTTCGGAATTGTCGCGTTTCTTCCTTTTCAGTCTCGCGCCGCGCGTTTGGAGCCTCTCCTCTGGCTTCAGTTTTTTTAGGTTTTTTGTTTTTTGTTTGGCGAATGAAACCCCGAATTTGTGTGTGTCCTTTGTGACCGAATGTGCAAAAGTTTTAAGCATCGCCGGCCACACTGTAAAACTATTTTCATTCCGTTTCCAAGAATGCACTAACTTGGGGTTTCTTTCGATTAAAGGAATAAAATATTTATATTGAAATTAAATAAAATTCACTTCCCTTTCATTCAGTTTAAAAATCAAAACAAAAATAAATGAAATTAACCGAAGCCGAATGGCTATTTAAATAAAATAGTTAATCTGAATCCTTTTGTTTTCAATCTGCTCGGGTTGGGGTCTATCTCTCTCTCTCTCTCTCTCTCTCTCTTTTACGCTCTGACGCTGTAGGAGTAGGAAGTGTAGGAAAAAACGGTTGTTTAAGCTCCCGAAAAGCCAGGCTGAAAGCTCAACAGATATGCAACATTTCCACACTATTTAAGAAATTAATTTTTAAAAAATTATCTGCTATGTATGGACTAAAGTTTAAATATTCAATTATTAAATATTCATATAAAAGGGAAATAAATATTGAAAAGGAAAAATTAATTTATTTAATTATATGTAATATGTACAAATTTAATTACAATTTAGAAAATCAAAGAATAAAAGCAAATAAATAAAACGGCCATACGAATCTGAACAAAAGTCAGATAGTTCTGATCCGATACAGCCATGTGAAAGCTTTCCTTAGCCTAAGTACCGTTTTCAGCTAAGCTTTCAGTTATGGTAAATGAATCGCCGCGTCAATTTCAATCGGTTCGTCTAATCGCTCATATTCCGCGCATTTTCGGGGCAAGAATTTTGTATACTTCAACCCTTCCGGATCGGATCGGTGTTGAACAGCAAACAACAGGCGACGCGTCGTCGTTCGTGTTGGATCAGTTGTTGATCGCTTTGATCGGTGATGAATTAGAATTTAGCTTTCTTTCCTTGTTTGGTTAGTGTTCAAAAAAGAAAAAAGTGTAACAAATTAACGCCCGCAACGCCCCTGTGGAAGGAGAGAGCAAGCAGCATCCTTCTACCATCGCCACACCATTCCATAAGTATAAAATGTAATTTATTTGCAAAGTAATTTATGTTGTACTTTAACTCGATTTCGATCTGTGAATCGCACAAACCATTTTGCCTTTAATACTTCAGACGACTGACGATAATTAACCTTCTCCTTTTCTACCCGTTCACGCACCATTTTAGCCAAGAATGACGGCGGAAGCAGCAACAGTAAGGCGGCGGCGAATCCCATACCGGCATCGCCCATACGATTGCCGTACGATCGGAGTATTGTCAGCTCGAAGCTGGCCAGTGCGTTGGTTGCCAATGGCTACTCTGATGTGAGCAGCGAGGACATGGACAAGCTGTTGCACTTCTATGCCACACTGGCAAAGGTCGAGAAGAGTCGTCGAGTGGCGGGCAAGAAATTTCATTTCTCCGAAGTAATCAATCTGCTGGGACTGAAGCATAAAAAGGGGAAGGTGGTCAACGATCCCATTGACATTGACATCGATGAGCTGATGAAGGAGGTGGAGAGTCAGCTGCATAAGAAGGAGAAGATCGAAACGGTTGTGGGGCCCAAGTCAGATAGCATTGGCATGGAGTCACTCACCGATTCCGATCTGCAGACATTGCTGCAAAACTTCAAGTTCCTTTCCAGCGAAGAGCAGGTCCATCTGATCGGTCATCTGCGCAAGCTTGAAGTCCTGGAGCCGCTGCGCGTCGAATGTCTACGCAAATATGTGAATCTGGCTGAGCTAAGCGGCGATGGTGAGTCCTGCAGTGATTTTCTTTCACGCGTCGCTGGAACCATCAATCCGGAAAATACATCTGCCGTTTCGGCTGCCGTTGCCACTGTGACGTCGTCCAATAAATCTTCATCTGCAACTGCCAATGCCACTGCCTCGGCGGCGGCTGCTGCTGCTGCTCTGTCCTCGCTGAGTGACCGTCGTCGTAGCTTTGAGCGGGAAGAGAACGTGTCGCAAGGCAACAAGCAGCGTCGTACCGGCCGCCCTTCACCAGGATTCATCATTGACGATGATGACGACGACGATTATAATTTTGATGATTTGGTGATGAAGGCCTGCGACTCGAATGGTGGCAGCGGAACTGGTGCTGTAAGTAGCAGGGGCGGCGGCGGCCTACCTTCTGTTTTACCGGCCGCATCTTCGCCGAATGCTTTGACTTTCAAGCCGGCCGCTTCTTCCAAGTTTTCGCTAGACACTGAATCGATTATAGCCAATCTAATGGACACGCTCAGCAACTGCCAGAAGCAAGGAGGCGGTAACGGTGGTGCCTCGCAGCAGGAGAATCGTGAACGCCCCTCTGGTGCTGGTACTCCGGGTCCAAGCAAGTCTTCACGTTCCTCCGCAAAGAAACACCAGCAGCAGCTGCAAAAACAAGGATTCACTAAAATTCCAATGCCCAATGCCAATCCCTCAATGCAGCAGCCTCAGCAGCTGCATTCCGGTTACAATCAGCTGGATGGAAATTCAGCATTTCAAATGCCGTCGCAGCATCACTTTGGCCAAGATCCCAGCGCGACTTATAATGGCGGATACTCCTTTTCTGGCTACTCGAACTACCAGGGACCTGGGCAAGATATGCCCAGCGGATATGGCGGAGTACCAATCAATCCTTGGGCCAACAATGGTGCTGGCCCCCAGCCGCCCCCGTTCATTCAGCAGCAAAACTACATGGCTGCCCAGCAGCAACAGCAACAGCCCCACCCATCACAGCAGTACAACAATATGTTTGGGCCTCGTCATTAGTTTTAGGTTACATACTTCATATTAGATATTCACATTCTTTTTTATACGCATTCATTTCATTTCGCACGCAAACAAATCAACACCCCGAAGGGAAAAGGAGCCAAATGTACGTCTGGCTCATTCTTTTCCATGCCCGGGCGCGTGTGTGTGTGTGTGTTTAGTCCGTTAAACAGCAGCTGTCTCGATACCGAGCTTACAGTTGTTTTTCTGGCCACAAGAAGAGGCATTATTATGTATATTTTTATTTTCATTTGAGTTTGAGTTTGCGTCAGCAGTCAAAATAAAGCAACGGAATACAAGCTTCTATCATAACAGATAGGAAATTCTTGCAGCACCACAAATCTCTATTTCTCTCTCTCTCTCTAATTGACTTGAAGTCCAAGAAAGTCGTCACCGTCTTGCCGGCTGAACATAGTTTTTGATTTTGTAATTAAAATACAATTAAATATGGTTTAAATATATCAAATAAAAACAGAGAATGAATATGGCAGTTAACCTTTTTTATAAGAAATTCAATTGTTTGTATCATTATCCGATATCCTAACAGCACTGTACGAGGACAACAGCTTGTGGATGCGAAAGTGCACCAAATAAATGAATCGGTGAAATGAAACGTTTCAACAGATCTGCCCGGAGCATCTGTCCATCCTGTTTTGCAGAACAATAAAAACGTAACAGGATTGTGTTTGTAATAACATTTACATTTAAAACCTCCCCATTTTTTAGCAGAAAAAACTAATAAAGTGAGCGAAAATGAAAATGTAAAGCATTAAACGATTGACTCTTTCATTTTTTCTTCGTTTTGTATCAAGGAACTAAACTCTAACTACAGTGAGGCAACCGCATAAAGTCCACCGTCTGTGACTTGACAATAGTTGGTATTTCGAGCTGCAACAACTGATGCAGGGACTGGCCCGTGTGCCTGTATATCCATTTGCCGGCCTTGGGTGTGCCAACGAAATCGAAGCGCTTGGGACCGCTGGTGGGGGAACTCAGCCAGATTTGCTTGTTGGGCGTCTGGCGATTGATCACATAGGTGCCGTGGCTCTTACCAAGATTCACTGTAAGAACACCATCCTGTCGAAATAAATAAAAACACTGTAGCATGATGTAACCATTGTGTATAAGGCGGAAGTAACTTACGCCATAGGCCACGTCGGTGCCAATGAGATCTGTGGCGTTCTCGGTCAGCTCTTCAAAGTAGTCGCACAGGCCGTCAAGGGTCTCTGAGCACAGACGTTCGTAGGTGGCCGTATCCAGGGAGCTCTCCGTCTCGATTTGGCTACTAAAAAGCCGCTTGTTCAGAGGTCCATTGTTTTGACTGAAGCTTTCAGAGGCTGTCGTTACCGTGGGCAGACTACTATGACACGTGCTGTGGTAGCCAGCAGTGGTAGCAGGACGTATATTCAAGCGGCTTAGCCGAGTTAATAAACGCCTGGTAAACATGGTGTGTGGTTTGTTTATAATTATTTCTAGTATGATTTGCATTGGTATATTTACGGTATATTTTAAAAATGAATATTTCGGTATATATTTTAGGGCCTCACTGACCAATGAATAATTTAAGCTATCAGTGGATATATTTAGACGTCGAAATTGAGTTGACGCGGTATATCAGTATTTCATAAATTGTTTGGTATGTTACGGTTCTTCCGGTATTTACGGTATATTTAATAGCGTAACATACTGGCTATAATAATTATTTTCCATCGGTGGTGCATTTATGCTCTTTTTTGCGGAAGCAGAAATATATATTGGTATATTTCTGAGGGTCAGACGGTATATTTTATCGATAATTACGCGGTAGCACTGGCACCGACGCAAACCAGAGAAAATGGCGTCGCCATGAAAATTTTTTCTGTTTTTGTCGATGAAAAACCCATTGAATCGTGTAATTAGTTTCGATGCAATTTCTTTTGAATAAAACTAAAATATTGTGAATGAACGATAATGGCGTTGCCGAGCAACTACAAGCAGATAGCAGTGGGCGCGCCAACAGGCCCCGGACCGGTAACACCGCTCCAAGGCGGCAGCCGGTCTCGTTCGTCTGGCGGCGGTGGCGGTGGGGACAGGAACAAGGACCAAACGCCCATCTTTACCCACAGTAACTATGGTAATCCGGCCTTCACACCACAGAAGGTGACGAAATCGTCGAGTAGCAAGAACCAGAACGAATCACGACTGCCCAAGCCACCGAAGCCGCCAGAAAAGCCCGTACTGCCGTACATGCGGTACTCAAAGCGAGTGTGGGACATGGTGAAGGCCCAGAATCCGGAGCTCAAGCTGTGGGAGCTGGGCAAGAAGATCGGCGCCATGTGGAAGCTGCTCAACGAAGAGGAGAAAGCTGAATTTATCGACGATTACGAGGCCGAGAAGGTGGAGTATGAGAAGGCGCTGAAGGCATACCACCAGACGCCCGCCTTTCAGTCGTACATGTCCGCGAAGAGCAAGTTCAAATCAGATGTGGACATGCACGAGACGCCGTCCCGTGGCGGTGGCAGCAAATCTCACGAGCGTCGCATCGACATCCAGCCAGCGGAGGATGAAGATGACCTCGATGAGGGCTACACGGCCAAGCATATGGCTTATGCTCGGTATCTGCGCAATCATCGACTCATTAATGAGATCTTCTCGGAGGCTGTGGTGCCGGATGTAAGGTCCGTGGTCACCACCACACGGATGCAGGTGCTCAAGCGGCAGGTGAGCTCCCTGACGATGCATCAGACCAAACTGGAGGCGGAGCTGCAGCAGATGGAGGAGAAGTTCGAGGCCAAGAAGCAGCGCATGGTGGAGTCCAGTGAGGCATTCCAAGAGGAGCTGAAGCGCCACTGCAAGCCCGCTGTCGATGACGATACCTTTCAGAAGATGGTGCACCGCATGTACGAGGACATCAAGCGTGATCGCCAGCGGCTAGACGAGCCCAGCAATACCACCAACAACTCAACGACTGGCCCCGTCTCTGCGTCGGCCACTGGTGGTCCCACCTTGGCCAGTCGGAACGAGGAGGCCTCCAAGCAGCAGCAGCACCAGCAGCCACCGACGCAGCCCGGCCAACCGTCCGCAACGCCTGCGCCAGCACCAGCACAGGACGCGCTACCGGGACTGGCATTGACACCAGCGAAAGAAACTCCAGCGGTGACGGTCAAGCCGCCACAACCTAATCCACTGCCAATACCAGCACCTGCGGCACCGGTTGCGCATGTCCATGAAACCGCAAGCAAGACGGATCCAGAGCCCATGGACATTGAGCCACCGCCAAAGCCCTCAGTTCCTCCGCCACCCATCAAGCCCGAGAAGCTGGAAATGGCCGCCGCACTGCCACCACAATCGACCGTGACGATAGGAGAACCGCCCAAGGATGTGCTTAAGGTGCTGCCACCCAGCAAGGTGCCAACACCGACGCCCGTGCCAACGCCCACACCGCCACCGCCAATGGCTGTTAGCGATGTGGTGGTGGGGGCCAGCTTGAATCCTGGTGCACCGGGATCTGTTCCAACAGCAGCGACGACGCCAACGCCACCGCCACCAAATTTACAGCAGCAGCAGCAGGCACCACTGCCGCCACAGCAACAGCAGCAGGCACCACAACAGCAGCAGCAGCCACAGCAAGCGGCTCCTCCACCTGGATTACCGCAGATGCATCCACATCCAGGCCATCCGCCACCGGGTCATCCGCACATGCCACCGCATATGGCGCCGCATCAGCCGCCGCCTGGAATGCCAGGTCTGCCGCCGCCGCCACCGCACACGGGCTATGCCAACTATGGAGGACCACCACACGTTCCACCACCGCCGGGCGGTCCAACACGCTCGCCCTACTACCAGCCTCAATATGGCGGCCATCCGACGCCGCAGCCCTACTATGCACCCTTCTCCCCCTATCAGCAATCGTACGGACCACCGCCCGGCTCACATTACATGTCGCCGCGTCCACCGCCACAGCACAATGGGAATCCGGGTCCAGGCGTGCACTATGCACCCGAGCACGGCAGTAATCCACCTCCGCCAGCACAGCAGCAAGCGCAACAGCAGCAGCAGCAACAAGCGCAACAGCAGCCGCCCCAGGGACATATGCACGAACCGAGCGGACCAGCTGTCGCCGGAGCCAGCGGTGTAGGTGTGGGAGTCTACGGCCAGCAGCCGCCACCTCAGCAAGCTGCTCCTCCGCCCAGCAGCGGCGTCGGAGCAGGAGCAGCAACGACACCGGGCGGACCACCGCCAGCAACTGGAGCGACAAGCGGCGAGAACGCGGCACCGACAGCGATACAAGCGGCGACGGCGGCAGCACCACCACCACCTGGCAGCAAGCACGCAGTAGATGCGGATAAGCATGAGACGAAGGACTAACTGGGACTTGTACCTCTCCCATACCCATACCCGCAGCCACAGTCACAGCCACAGCCATACCCATGGCTGGGATGCATCTCAATCAGATTCTAGTTGTAGTTTTCAAATTATTCTTGATTCATCCCTTTCTTTATATTTGCCGCCCCGCCCCCGTGTTGTAACATAGCTCCCTCTCGTCCTGTACACCAGGTGCTGATCCCCCATTTATGCCTCTCCAACCCCAGCCCCACGTCCACCCCCTCTAATCGACCATGTGGGAAAATAAAACATTAACATTAATATATTAAGTTGAATATACCTTACCCTGCCCCTATACACCTTTTTTTTTGTGTACTCTGATATATATTAGATTCTGACGAAATATACGATTGAAAATTAAATATAAAACAAAACGAATTAATAAGAATTGCCGATTTGTTTATTCCCAATACATTGTAAGTATATATGTGTGTGTATAATGCCGAGTAAACATTCCATTTCTAAGGGTTTCTACTGATAAAAGATTATTTGTTACAAATGTTCTGTTTATTGCACTACAGTGGCGCCATGATCCTGAATGTTCTGGTTGGCGTTTGCGTTTATACGGGTATATATTTTAGGTTCTTTATATACAAAGATGCGAAATGGATTTGTCTTAGAGCGTAAGTTAAGTTATCTTACAATAATCGATGATGTTGATGATTTTATTTTGCTGAGCATTTACTTATTGATCGGCGGATGGTGGTGGGGGCGTTGGTTGGGTGTGTAGCGGTTAGCGTTATCATTTCATTTCCAGTTTATCGGAAGCACTAATGAGGAATGACATTGTTTTGGCATTGATATGAGAGGGTAACAGTTCAGAACAGATATGTTATGGATTGTGTTTAGTTTTTAGGACAGCTTGATACCAATTAGTGGGTGAAACTCCATTTGTATGGCGCTGTTCACGCACATGTACATGGCATTGGCATCCTGGCTGCGCACATAAACGTTCACCATGGGCAGCTGGTCACCTGCCTGCACCCTCTATCACCTTGAGTATAGCCTCGCTGCGTGGCGGCATTAGTCCACGCAAGCTTCCCAACATATCCCCGACAATATCGGGCACGTCGTGCAGGCGCACGCGCAGCGCCAGCGGCGGATAACCAGCCAGCGCCAGATTGTTGGCCTCCAGTCGATAAATGTTCGAAATGTGCGTCTTGCGCAGGCGTCCATCGTCCACGTAGTAAACATCGAATGTCTCCTCATCTCCTCATCCTCAAGCTGTGTTCAGACTCGCTCATCCACGGCAGCCGAAGCTCGCGAACTTCGTGCCGCTGAGGCGCTGCTCTTCTCGGAGAGGCAGGATCGTTGGCCAGCAGAATGAGCGACGTGACTGAATTCTCCATGCGAATCTTGCTCGATTCCACAACCAAATCGTGCCAGTGGCTGGGCAGATGATGGTTAAACGTTTGCTCATACCACTTCTCCAGCTTGTAGCCCAATATGCCATTGGGATACTGCCGCAGCTCCCGGTACAGGCCGTCAATGAATGGCAGGAATGGCAGCGGCTCTCCCACGACATCAATATAGTTTCTGAGAACGTCGGCGCCCGATTAGCGCCCGCACCTCAGTGGTTACTTCTGCAAAGATCTCTTCTTTACTCGTAGACATGACGACGCTTAATTCTACAGACGATAATAATTAAGTTTATTATGTGTAGCTCCAGGCTAAACAAAGTTCTTGTTAAGTGTGCACTTGCATAAATATAATGCCTATAATATAAAGGCCTGCTGATCCTGAACTTTTAAAGTATTTGTACATTTATTTCATAAAAAAGGCGCGTGCGGCAGTCTGACTGAGGATTTATTGAGTTTGGTACTACATGCTGTAAAAACTAACTCAGTGGCGCTGCCATGTGAAGCTTGAGCTGTGGCCACACTTTGACTTTAGTGCGAAAGCTTTGCCAAAAATGGTACATTTGTATATGCATATAAATAATGAACGTATACGCCAAGCACGTGCACATATGGAAAGGTGGAGAGGAAGCCTCCATTGCCATTTAACGGCCAGCAGCTAAGCCACTCCCACCCACTTATCCGCTGCACATCACACATACATACATACATATGTATGTGAGCACCCATACCGTACTAGAAATCTCTCTCTCTCTTTCCTACACTTACACACACTGAGATTATCACACACGTCGACAGAGCGCGCAAATGACGTTTGCTTGGCTTTTGTGAGCAACTGTACCCACGAAGCACCCCACAACGAAAGACAATTTCAATGGTTTTTTTTTTGGTTTCTTCTCTAGAAAAAACCGTTTATTTTTTGTGTGATTTTTGTTGTTTTGTAGTTTAAAAGAGTTTTAGGGTTTACAATTTTTGTTTCGTCATTTTTGGGTGTTTCGTTTTTTTGTTACATATTTTGTATCTATTGATTAATTTTTGATGTTTATTTTTTCGGGGATTCTATGGCAGTCTTTAAGATAAAGATTTCTGCTGATTTCTGATTTTTTTGTTAACTATTTTAATGTATTGCATATTATTTATGTAATTATTTTCTTAGTGCATACCATACGTATATAATGGGTACATTGTTGTTGTTAATTTCCTCCATCTGTGTGGTTATGTCTGTTTTTGAATGCCCCACCAACTCTCACAATCCATGGAGGAAGGGTTGGGGGGGGGGGGGGGGGGCTGGGTTAGCTTTCTGTTCTAATTCTCCCTTGCCAAAAACGTATAAAATGCTTGTAATTCTAAAACTTATTTAATCAACTACCTTCGTCTCCGCTCCCCACACAGAGAGGGAGCGGAACGAGCCGGGGACCCACCTGTTTTATTCTTCCCTTTGCTACTCTCGCCGCAACACAACAACACGGTTGGTATGTGTGTTTGTTTGATGTTTGTTTGATCTTCAACATGAACCGTTGTTCGGGTTCGCGAGTAAAGGAATGGAATAAAAAGACAAGATCTATTTTATGTCTAGTGTCTACAAGATATATGTATGAATGCTTACTTTACGTTTTATATGTAGTATATATGTATGTTTAGAAGTAAGTGTATTCAATTCGGTCTTCGGTGTTATATTGGATATCATTTTCAGATGTTCTTGTTGTTGGTTGTTGTTAAAGTTGGGTGTTTATAATGTTTATAGCGCCGCCCACATGGTTTACGCCCTCTGGCCCGGTATAGCCACCTGGTCGCACCTTCCTGTCGCCTTGCCACACGCAAACGATGCTCACTTGCAGTTTACCGGCAGTCCCCATTCAAACGCGATCGGGTTGTGTTGACGCTGCATGCCCCATGCAGCAGCTTCTTTCGGGGGCTACTGCACAGGGCAATTAATGGATGGGCAATTCCGGCAAACAGGGCATCGTCCACGCCAGTTGGAGATGTGGTGGCGATGTTCGAGACGACAAGAGCAGCGCGACCAGAAGGATGGGATCTCATTTCGATGAGATGAGAGAGCGACGCGGCGACATAAATGGTATATATATATATATATATATGTGTGTATATATATATATATATATAGAAAAATAATGTTAAATTCTAATGTACAATTATAATAGCAATAATAATAAGTGTTACGGGCATATGTGTATGTATGTAAAAGTTAAATTTTCAGGGGCCCATCTCTTTTTGCCGGCAATCGGGCGCCCGCTCGGTTGCGGGTTTTTGTATGTGCTGGCCCTGGCCCAATTTGCCAGCAGTTAGAATGAATTTCATTCAAGAAAACTGCCTCTACCTAAATTAATCTTAACTCGAAAACAAAGATGGTAAGTGTATACATGTAAGTTTTGAAATGGATGATTAATCAACTTGTTTTTGAGTTCCCCTTCAATGTGGCGCGACCACTTGCATGATGTTTGTGTTTGTGTTGCTGCTGCATCTGCCGCTTGTTGTTGTTTTGTGTAGCAGAGCCGCGGTCGCGCGTGCATTGCAAAGGGAATTGTTACACTCCACTGTGATCATACTTCTCCTCCTTAAGCACGCTCGCCACGGATGCGGCGCGCCAACTGAATGTCCTTGGGCATAATAGTGACGCGCTTGGCGTGGATGGCGCACAAGTTCGTGTCCTCGAAAAGGCCCACCAAATAGGCCTCAGATGCTTCCTGCAAGATGTACCGGAGATTGGCAGTTTTAGGACACTTGTTCCACTCTCTCTTTAAGCGGAAGGGGTTTGGGGACGGGACAGGACGGGACTCACCTGAAGGGCACCAATGGCAGCCGACTGGAAACGGAGATCTGTCTTGAAATCTTGAGCAATTTCACGAACAAGACGCTGGAACGGCAGCTTGCGGATGAGCAGCTCAGTCGACTTCTGGTAGCGACGGATCTCACGAAGGGCAACAGTGCCGGGACGATAACGATGGGGCTTCTTGACGCCACCGGTAGACGGGGCCGACTTCCTGGCAGCTTTGGTGGCCAGCTGCTTACGAGGAGCCTTTCCTCCAGTCGATTTACGGGCGGTCTGCTTAGTACGGGCCATTTTTCTTCTTTATTTCAATCAAAGTCTGCAAAATTCGTAAGAAATTTAATGGTTTTTAGTACATCATTTTATATTCTCTTTAGTTTGAGTAAAGTTTCTCCTACAACTAGAGATAAGCACTAACTTTGATCCTAATATTCAACACTTTCTAGACTCTTGGAGCAGCAAAGTCTAAGCCGGGCGATGCTCAGCGCCGGAGCGCTGGCAGCCAACTGTGGAAGGCGAAGCTGCTGTGGCCTAGAGGAAACCCCAGCGAGGGTTGAAATCTTTGGCCAGCAGCTGCTGATGGCTATACATGTTCCCTTTGCCGGCATTCGTCGCTTTCTGGGTAACACTTGAGAAACATCCACTCGAGTGGAGACGGTCAACGTCTGGTGTCTTGGTGGGCTAGGGCTTGCTCCGGACCCCAGCGCCGGCGGAGGCAGCAAGCAGCAGTTTCGCTTTGAGTGCCTCTTCAGCGCGCTCTTCAGCCATTGTGCGAGTGCATATATTTCTCTTTTCATGAGCACACAACATGATTCGATATTTTTTTCCCATCTTGTATGTTTTTATGTCGTTTCCCCCGTACCATGCTGGGCCTTTCTTTTTTTTAGTCGTGCTGCGCGCCTCTTCATCTTATTTTTTTTTTATGCGGAATCAATCAAGTTGAAGTAATGATTCATGGTTTTACATGTTCCTTTATTTCTGTTATTTTTACCCAATATTCTGCATTAGCCCGATCAGAAAACAATAGGCATGAAACGAAGGCACTTACTTTTCAGAGCAGAGCGCGGTGGAAAGAGATTTAGTTTGTGTGCGTAAAAAGTGAACGCACAATTTTACGAAGCGCCAAAAAGTAAACAAACGAAACAACTTATTGTGATGAGCGCCATAAAAACGCGCCAAGCCAAAGAGGGATGGCACTACTACGATTGGCGTTAGACAGAGAGCGCCAGTGGTTGTGGCGGACGGGATAGCCACAAATTGCGTCGTTTGAATTCGTGTGCGTGTCCGTTTGCATGTGTTTGTGTGACAGCTGCACATCCTATTGAAACTCAAGAAAAGGCAAAGTAATGCAAGCAGTGGGGACTGTAACTGTATCCCAGGGGGGTTGGGAACCTTCTGGAAGCACAAATCATCATTAACCAAAGCAGTGCGCATGACAAGTTTCAGAAAGTGCACTGCACTCATCTATCTATATACATACATATATGAATGTATGCATGTGTGCGTACGAAGACACAAAAGTATTTCATTTCTTCGCGCGCCTTTTTTTATTACACAAAACTGTATTTATCTCGTTTCGATACGCACATCCATACATATACATATAAACATCTGTGTCCCGTACAGCACTCAACAAATAAAAAACAGTCAATGTATGTATGTATGCATGTGTTGGTACAGACAAAAAGCAAAAGCTTAGATAATGTTAAAACGAATAAATACTTGAATGTATATATATAATATGCTACGTTATTGGTTTTAAACGTTTCTCAGTAGACTGTTTAATTGCAGCACCTTTCAACACATTTGTTGTATATGTAGGCATTGGGATGTGTGTGAGTGCGTTTGCATGTTCGTTCGTGTGTCGCCTCACCAATAAATAATAAATTAGTTAATGATTTACAACACAACCAAAATATGCAAATCTTGTTTATCGCGCCCTTTTTCGTATCTATGCTTTTCAAAATCACCTCACAAAAAAAATTACTACAATCACTTTAACTATTTAATTGCTACTCTCTTTCTGGCAGCCATTTTGAAAATTCGAGCAACAACAAACGGTACCCCACTTCAATGCATCCATCGTGCAAAACGAAGTCACCTCTCACGTCGCCTTCGTGCATTTGTGTGTGTATCCGTCGGACAAGAAAAAAATATATATGTAAAGCGGCATTAAATATCAGGGCTCCGTTGGCCGTCCACCGGAACCCCAAAAATAAAAACAGATGCAGACAGACGCAATAGTTTGGGACTCCGCCGGCCGTCAGAGGCCCGAAAACGAGAAAAAAAACGAACTGAACATGTTAGGGCTCCACTGGTTGGCCAGCGGAGCACCCGAAAACTAGAAAAAAAATTATGTGTAAGCAGACATGTAAAATTGAGGCTCCGCTTGACGGCCGACGGAGTCCCGAAAACAAAACCATTGTCCATACATTTTTACCGCATTTCGTTTGCACATTTCCCTATAGCTAGCAAGATAATTTTAAGCGAGAATATATTTTAGTTTAATTTTAAGGAGCTCTCACCGTTTAATTAGTTCACTACAAACTTTTAAGTTTTTTCTACAGAGAACGCACACACACTTTGACGATTTCACAATTAATGTGACCAAAATCAGTAGGGGTAAAGACCCAGAAAATTTTCACATTCAAAATATACCGTAAATATACCGAATCCTAAATCGTAACTGATAAAAAAAAGTTCAGCGGAAAATTTGGCGGCTTTTATTAATTTTTTTATTATTTTACCTTACCTTAATGAAAGAATGAGAAATATGAAGAATAAAAGCCATTTAATTTGTGATCAGCATCATAAGAAAACTCAACTTTTTCGAAAATGTCGTTAGGACTCTCAGCCTCGAACCTATTCTTTTATTAGATTATTTTTATGGAAATATTTATGGATATGGTGAAATTTACTTGTATGATGTATAATTTATCTCTCAAATTTAAATGAAGCAGATTTTAAAATGAGTCTTCGAATTCTAGTTTAAGGTTATTTGAGAATTTATTATTTGTTTTAAAACCCCCTCTTTATATACATTCGACCATAAAGCAATTATAGAAGGAGGTCTCTTCGGCAAAATAAGGGAAACGTGACAATGCTGTCAATAAGTGCGAGTGAAAGGCCTCTGCGCTGTAAGTGTCGAAGGACAAGAGTTCTCCCTCTCCCTCTTTCTCGTGGCGGCTCCTGACCGTTTCGGAGCGAGATATAACGGTTCAGAGTGAAGCAGTAGCAAAGCAGTGGATTTAAGTTTGGAAAGCAGTGAAAAATGATTTTATTTGTGATTGCATTGCGTCGACAATTGCAAAAATGCTTGTTTAAAGAAATAAATATTCTACTGCGACTTCTTGTCCTCCCTGAGTGGCTTGCCAAGAGGCTCATCCTTGAAGTGAAGGAACACAAACGAAAAGATAAAGACACCAATCATCATGGAGAAGGCGCTCGTGTAGTACGGGAAGGCGCTGGGAATGAAGCGCTCGTACTGCGTGTGCTCCAGCGGACGCACAGACACCTGGGTGGTGCTATACAGATGGGTGTATCCAACACGATTGTAGTCCACCTTGAACTGGTAAACGCCGTAGACATCGGGTATCTTGAACCTGGCCTCGTAGCTGCCCGTCTTTGTCTGCTTCAGGAAGGTCCTCACGAACGGGTCGATGCGCACAAACTCCAGCTGGATGTCACTGGCCTTGTATGCCTGCCACTGGCCAGCCACCAGTTCCTCAATAGCAATGGTATAGATCACGGGATCGGTAATGGTGTAAGCCTCGCCTGGGGGCAGCAGCTCGCCCTCCTTGTGGTGCTGCACAGAGGCAACGCGCAGGCGGCCGGTTTCACCAAAGACCCACTGGCTGATGGACTCAGCGACGACTCGATTCCCGGAGAGCTTGTGGAACACACCGCTCTGAGCATACTGGACGGCTGTGGTGAAGCTCTCGTCCGAAAAGAAGAGTAGGGAGCCGGAGAAGACGACGCGGGCATTGTTGCGTGCCTGGAGGGCGGCAATCAGCAGAGTGCCGCGGCCCACAGCGTGCGGATAATCGGTGACACTGGACTGAGGATTGTAGCTGTACGCGCTGCTCTCGGCGGTGAGCAGCTTTAGAACCAGTGGGTTCTCCTTGTCGGCAATCAGGCCCGTGCCTCGGTACAGTAGTGGTGCCGAGTCGGCCTTGCTGTTCTCCCTGCCAACAATGGTATCGGCCTGGATCAGATTCTTGGCCGATGTCAGGATGGTTGTGTGCTCGCCAGAATCGCTGACATCGTAGTTCAGATGATCGATGACTGCAGCGTTCTCCTCGTCCAGCTCAAAGCCACACTCCGAGGCAAACTCGCGCAGAGCATCACCAGATTTTTCACTGCCAGCTACCAGCACATTGCCGCCGTCGTCCACAAACTTGGCCAGACGCTCCACACTGATATCGCCGCCAAACTCCTCCACACTGGGCGCAAAGATGATCACATTCGTGTAGAGATACTCGCCATAGCGCGAAAGAAGCAGGCTGGAGTCGTCCGCGAGCTTGTATGTTAACTTAAATCCACGATCTGCAATTAAATTAGTTTTTCGTCAATACAAATTTGTACACGTCATAGATTAGGCCAGAGGCCGGGTGCGGTTAAATTACCTTGCAGCGATTTGAAGAAAATCGAATGGGTCTCTCGTATGGCCAGATTGTCCAGCAGCACCAGCGTTTTGGCATCAGTCTGCAAAACTGCATTGCAGTTACAAACTGCCAGGAGCGCGATTAGTACAAGTTTCCACATATTTAAGACCCTTTTTTCCCTAGACCGGCTTTTGTGACATAAAAAAAATGGCCACGGAAGCTACGCGTTAGTGTGTTTATTCAGTAAGGGTATTCACGAGCCTGTGGAATCGATCGTTTCGGAAAATGTATATACTGAAAAATAGTGTTGTTATATTAGCATGTTAGGGATTTGTGTAGTTACATTTTGATTGCTCAGTGCATGCCGTATGGAACTTCTTAACAATGTAAACTTAATGTATATTATACATACATATATATGTCATTCGGTATTTGCCAATAATGCATACTGTGCGCCAAATGTGCTTTATTGCCAAAAGTTCGCCAATACTAAATACAAATTGAATTAATTTCTGTAATATAATTTAATTTTCAATAAAGGCATGGGAAACGTATCTTTCTTTTGACTCCGACAATCTATTTAATCTCTGTCATAGGTTTTGTGCACAGTGGTTTCATTTATATATTCACTTGTCGCTCCAGGAGTAATTGTCAACCATGTATCCCTGAGCTGTATATCTGCTGTTCTCGCGGTCAGGAATTATTAGTTTCCATGGTGCTGGGTACCTTAGATGTTTCTACAAACATTTCCGAGTCTCGAAACCGACCGATTCTTATCAGGGATAAAACATTTACTGGAATACCTCAGATGCCGCGACAGGCTTGCATCATGGACTCTTTGTATTTCTCTGCACACAAAAGAGGCAAGAAGCATCATAGCAAAAGTATAGGAATAGGCATAGGTAAGAGAAAAGTTAAAATTGGTAAGAAAGTGTAATGGAAATATTCGAAAGCTGCTGTCGGACCTGCGGCAGCGAGTGCCTGGAGGCCCATAATATCTTCGAGGAGGAGGTCACGGTACGTGATAAGAAAGTGACGCTACTAGAAATCCTTACGGCCTGTTTACCGGCATCGCTGTCATCTTTAGAGGAGGACGATGACTATCCCAAGCAGATCTGTCGCATTTGCATAAAGAAAGTGATCCTCGCCTACGAGTTTCACAATACCTGGATTACTGCCCACGCAGAATTCAATGTGGCATTGAAATTCGAGCAGAGACGAAAACGCAGTCTGGCCACCAAGACGCAGGCGAAAGCCAAGATAGAATACACGCTGTACCCCAGTGGCGAGACTATCGAAGATGCCCATCGGACTGATGATACTCCCACGAACACGGTGATCTTCAAAATAGAGCCTGGAAATGGTAGGTTGCTGAAGCATCTGATCTGATCTTATCGAAATTAAGTAATGCTCGTCCCCTCTCGTTATAGCATCTTCCCAAGATGTGGAGTATGTGTTGCCAACAGAGCCAGTGCCGTCGACAGAGGATGGGGCGAACTTCAAGTGCGGGATGTGCGAAGAGCGATTCCACACTACGAAGGCCTGCAGATTCCATTGCAGATTCGTGCATGGGGTCCAGTAATTCCCATAATCCAACTCCTTTCCATTGTGTGTACGTTTAAATGTTTTGTTTTACTTAGCTATAGCATAAAGCAACAAAAAAAAGGTTTGGTGCAATGAGAATGACATTTTTGCTAGTTTGCTGTTGTTGGCTTTCTTTAATCATCCTCATCGTTGCGCACCTTCTGGGCACGGGGATCGTCGTGGCGGAAGACGACATAGCCCAGCTTGTAGCGGCGATTGTCGCCGTCCTTGGCATAATAGTTGGCCACTCCGATTCCTGCCATCACGATGCCACAAATGGCCAAGGCAGAGCCGCCGACGATGTCGGGTATCTCGTTCCAGGCGCGCTTCAGCAGCGACGTTGTGCCACGGGCGGCGGGTGCAGACATATTTGGTGCTCTGTTCAAGAATTAATTTTAGTTTTGTTGGGTTTTCAAAGAATATTTTGCAATTATTTACCAAAAATTGACGTTTCAGTTACACAAGAGACTAGTGTGAACTCGGAATTATCGACACCGCCTGACCCTCAGAAATATACCAAAATATACCTTTTCATATTCAAAATATACCATAAATCCCATAACATATTCCTCGATTTTGATATTCTGCTTAATACTACCAGCTGGTTAGGACTCTCAGCGCTTTAACAATAATTAAATCTGATGTATGAATCAATTCTCCATAAGATTGGATCGTTAAATGATAGCAATGGAGATAAACAACAATGGTGGCCCAGCCAGTCAAAGTACTGTTAAGTGCACAAGTTAAGTAAAAGCCCATGACACTTGCATTTTGTACTCTTGAATAAAAACACAGTCTTTATGATAAGTAGAACATGTTTTAAGTATCAAGCAGCAAGGTTAACTCTGTATCTGCTCATTAAGAAACTGCAAGATTCCAAATTAGTTCAGCCGGTGGAATAACATTGGCAAGAGTCATACCGATTCACACATAACAGATTAAAACACCGGCAAGTTTTACAGAGCTATGTTAGTCATAACAGTGTGCTGTTGTTGCCATATTTTAGTGTTGAAAAGTATTCGAAAAGTATATTAAATGGCAATCATTGACTACAATTCCAAAACTTTTTGAAAGACAAAGACAATTCTAGTTTTTAATTTTCTAAACTTTGTTCCCCACAGATGGACATTGAAATTACAAAAAGCCAACAAAATATGCAATCACGCGCCATCTATCTTAACATATGGTTGATGTCAAACAGTCCTTGTGCTGTTAGGCGCACTTGTCACAAAAAAAGGGGCATACAGTTTTAAACATTTAATTTTGAAAGCCGGCCGTAAATTGACTTTAAGTGGATTTAAATCCACTTACCTGACAATGTGTTTACGCTGTGCGAACCACAGCTTGTTTTGATTGTCACTTTTCGACATTTCCCCACCCCGTCTCTTATACCATGCCATTAACCCTAGAAGGCCCCAAATTGTTGTGTCAACTGACGAAATAATCTAAGTGTGAACATTTTTGTTCGATGCCACAGATGCCAAAAAAACGTCGTGTAAGACCCTCCATTCAGGATATCCTTCACTCCGTTGTCCCATGCACTTTTCGCGCTCTCCCACAGAACATCAACTGGAAACGGGCGCAAGTGATTCAGCTCCTGAAGCTCTTCCAACAACGCCGAATTCTATACGATCCGAAGGAAGAGGATTACCGAAACAAGGGCCGTCGGTCCTTAGAATTGGCAAAAAGTGTGAGGGTCCTGCGTCAAGCGATGCCGAAGCTGTCGGAGAAGGCTGTTGAGAACAAATTCGGTAGCCAAAGTGCCGGGCCTACAGTTGCCCTACTGGTACAATTTTATGGATTTCTACAAGCCAGTCGCAGCAGGGTCGTGTCCTCAGCCACACGACATCAAATGCCGGAAAGGCCAGTGCTGGTGTTGGTGCGGGTCAGTCGTCATCTGATAGCAGTGAGGATAGCGACGCGGACGAATCTGTGTTCATTAAACAGGAGCCGATCTTCGATCAGTCCACAATTATTCGGGAATTCTTGGCCGGACTTGGCTTGGACTCCTTTGAGTCCATCCTTAAGAATCCTTTGTCAGATTAGATTAAGACCTCAGTTGATTCATTTTAGAAATGAAATACAATGCACGAAAGTGCAAGCAGCTCTTTAAGTTACGTTTCTGCTGCCTCAGACCTCGCCCTGACCCAAATGAACGCAGCCGCGTTCAAACTTGAACTTCATTGGAACTGGCTCTGCGTCGCAGTGTCGCAGCGTCGCAGATTCGCAGAAAACTGCAACTTCAGGTGAAAAATTGTTTATAAAATGCGAGAACGCAGTGTGGTAATGCAATTAGTTGAATAATCTGATCAAGATGGGTAAGTCGCGATGTGCAGGGCACCCGTCGCCTACGCTCAAAGACTCATGCACTGATCCGTTCGCAGCCTGCCATAAGATGTGCTTCACCTGGATGCTGTTGATCCTGCTGCTGGCCGTGCACCTGGAGGCCTCGAAGATTGCCTACAAGAAGCCGCTTTACGGCAAGAGCAACTACATAAAGGACAAGCGCATGAGGAGCAAGCCAGTGGCGATACCAACCGCAACCATAGCCCCAAACACTGACGCAGCTTTGCCCGATACCGTGGAGTTCATAATTGTGACCACTGCTAGGCCAGAGCTCAACGGCACCACAGAAACTACCAGAAGCAGCAGCATCAGCACCACCACGGAAGGCTTTAGCAGCGAGGCCTGTGGCAGCAGCACAACCGCAACGCCTGCAGCTTCAGCCACAACGACAGCAACGACGACAACCTCCAACGGTTTGGACAACACTTTGCCATCGCCACCGACGCCAGAACCAGCAACGGCAACAGCAACAGCACCACCAATAGCACCAGCACCAGCAACAAGCTCCAATCTGGACAACCATCCAGTGCCGTGCACATGCGGCGTTTTCCTCTCCTCGCAGATGCACCGTGGACTGCACGAGGCGCCGCTCATACATCAGGAGCTGGATCGCATGTATCCGTGCAATGCGATTGGACGGAAGCAGTGCCAAACCAAATGCCTGGAAGCGGTAAGACAAAATCAATTTTCATTCAAAACGGAAACAGAAACGGAAGTAAACAGCTCCACCCCCAAAATCTAATGCAGATCGTACAGCACCTACCCAATTCGGCCAACATTGTGTGCTCTGCACTTGGCCATGACTGCCACAAGGAGCGGGCCTATTTGTTCATCAAGAATTGCCACAATCAGTGGGTCAACACCAATCTGCAGGCGGGCAGAGAGTATTGCTGTAAGGCGGGCGTGCCCTATCGCTGTCCACTGTTGGGCTAAATGGTTTGATTTGCTCAATAAATCCTTTGATATACATATTAAACACATTATGATTGATTATGGGCTGGCTGTTGGTAGGAAAACATGGAACATAGCTCCTTATTCATGCGAGTGTCGGCACAATATCAAAATGAGCGCCAACAATTCGGATGTTTAGTATTTTTTGAGTGCGCATCAATCCAAAGAGATAAGTCATAAAAATCAGCCATTCTTCTGGAGAATTGAATGATGATTCGAGTAAAATTACAGTTTTAAAGCTAAGAGTTAGTTACTAGTTAGAGCTGGTAATAGTAAACAGAAAATGAAAGTCGAGGAAAATTATTTTAGATTTACGGTATATTTACAGTGTATTTTGAAAATGAAAGCGTATATTTCGATATATTTCAGAGGGTCTGTCTACCGATAATTCCGCGGTCACACTGCATCTGATAGCAAAAACACAGAAATTAATTAAATTTTCGGGGTCGGGGGCAAATAAAAGAGAATTGTTCAAGCGGATAATAGTAGCAGGTGAGTTGCAAACGCGCATAATACATATACATATGTAATCATCAACCTTTCATCCAACTTGGTGCAGAAATTTGAAAAAAATGGTGTGCCTACCGTGCTTTATCATTCCACTGTTGCTCTATATTTGGCACAAGTTCGTGCAGCCCATTCTGCTGCGCTACTGGAATCCCTGGGAGAAGAAAGACGCCCAGGGGAATGTGATCAAGGCGGGGCCGGACTTCCCCTTCGAGTGCAAGGGTGGCGTCTGTCCATTTGTGCCCGGCAGCAAGAAGGCAAACAACGCTGACAACGACACAGAGACGACCACAACAACTGAAACAATCACAGCCACAGATGGCCAGGAGGCTACAACTACAACAATTACAACCAGCAGCAGCAGCAGCACCGCAACCACTTACTCGTCATCATCAGAGCCAGGCTTGGCGGAAACAAAGAAATTAATTTAGTCAAAATTTCACGTTTCTCTTCTATTTTTTTCTTCTTGCTTGTACTCTGACTTTTGACACAACGCACACAATCACACACACACCATACCATGGAGCACGAGCCCGCCCCCGCCGTGTGAGTGTGCCCGGGGGACAGACACGTTATCAGAGGAGCAGCAAAAACAATTACGCTTAAAAAAAAATGTTAACTTTAATGTAATACACATTGCAATCACCACCCAAAAACTGAGTCCCAAGTTCTTTCTAGAGGGGCCAGCACAAGGGTTCGAGGGTCGCACCCACTCTGCTGCTTCGACTGCTGTATTTTTGGGTTGCTTTGTTAATCTAAAATATATGTTAGAATGTCTTTAATATGACAAAGATGTGGCCTAGAGCACGTCTGTTTGCTGGCTAATAGTGGGGGCCCAACCGAAGGCACACACCCAACCCTTTTTATCAACGAAACTTTTAGTATAAGTACTTATAATATAAGATTTGGACGCTACTTAATACTTGTTGAATTTTTCATGCGGAAGAAGGAAGTTCCGCACCCAACAATAGCTGAAGCAAAATGGAGTAGCATGAAGCAGTCTTATAGATAAGACCCATAGGTTCGTAGACAAACAGACTCTGAACCGCTTCAGCATTGTAGAAAAAAGGTGTGCAATTTCATTAAAGAAATGTACAAATGGTATGAAACGGCAAGTAAGTATCTACCTACCTACGACCATCATCCAAATAAGAGTAAACCAAAATGTTGTGTGTTTCCTGACGACAGCTGCTTGGGTGGATATTGGGACATGTCAGTGGAGTGCTGACTCCCTAAGTCCCTCTCAAAAAACGAGTATCATGCGCTGCTCCGTGTTAATGGAGCATTCCCAGTTGCATCCCCGTGGGATTGAGCATGGAGCTTTCTACTATTTTTCTTTTTCGTACGTTCAATGTACCAAATCATCATTGAGAAACCACAAACATTTTAATTAAAATCCGTTTGTTTTTTAAAATAATTATTTAATATTTTTTATTTATGTCAAAAAAAGTTGCATTTCTGTTTGTTGTTTTTCTGTTTAAGTTAGGAAAACAAATAATTTTACAATTTACACATTAAAAAACTTACAAAGAAAATTATAGCAATGAAAGAAGAATGATTAAAAAAAAACTCAAAACTACAAAAATTGTGCAAGACGAACAAGAAAATCGTTGTGGTTTTTTTGTTTGTTTTGTTTTTGCTTTAATTTGTAGTGTCTAGTTTCCCCGTTGCATATTTTTTGAAAATATCTCTAACTATCAACTTAGATTTTAGGGTGGAGTTTGGGGAATAGGGGCAGGGACTTATATATATAGAAAACTTGGCTGGTTAAGGTCTTTATCTTTTCTTTTCGTGTCTTCTTGTCTTGTATTTCTATGCCTTTTTTTGTGTGTTTGTTTTTATGTTTTTGTCTTTTCTGGTGATTTTGTGGAATTATTTGTTTGTTTTTGCATATCGCTTGCCTTCAACTTAATTGAAACATTTATGAGAATCTTTTTACAGTTTAGCTTAGTTCATATGTAATAATACATAATAATCATACATATACCATGGTAATAGTAATAGTAATAATAATAATAATATTAATAATAATAATAAAAAAAAACGTTGTGTAAAAAAAAAGAGATGGGTTTTTTTTTGTTGATGTGTAGTATAGCTATCAATTTTGTTTATATAAGCACTTCAGTTTTGCGAAAACTAAGGAATACCTAAAAAAATATACACGGTAGATAGACATGTGTGTATATGTAGATATCGTGTATGCATGTAAAATACATTGGATAGGCGTTCATTAATTGTAGAATTCGTTAAAAACTTAATAATTAAAACGTAGCCTAGACTTAGGCCTAGTGATATATCCGTATGTGTGCGTGTGGGGGGCATGGTCGGGGGAGGGATTTGCTCTTATTTCCTATAGCTATATATAACTGAACAGTATATAGAATGCCAATGCTGTCTGCTTTTGTTCAGAATTTTCGCTAGTTTAAGGCTTTCAGTTTTCTTTTATGTTTTATGTTTTAGATTTTTGTGTTACTGGAAGCGACGACGATGACGGTACGACAAATCAAATGCGCCACAAAAAACGACCTCTTACGAGTCTACATATATTTGTAATGTATCCTAAGCATTGGGTTAAAAGATATCTACATTCAATATGGGTAGATATGCGATCTAGATCATTCGATTTCAACGCGCACTGTACAACAATCAATTAAAAAATATCATTTAAATTATTACAAATTATTACGTTCCCATTTTCTCTCATGCTCTCGCTGTATTTCTCGATTAAAACTTAAACCCTAAACAGACAATTAAAAAAAAAGGGCGCTTTCGTTAAAAAAAAAATATTAAAATTGTTTAGCTCCTCTTTTTTGTTTGTTTTTGTTATTGTTAATATGTAAATGTAGAACGTAGTCCCAGGTGACTCTTTAAGAGTCGCATGCACCACCGTTCGATTCCGCAGTCGGGCGGCATTCAGGCATTCAGGCATTCAGGCGTCAGTCGGCAGTCGTCATTATCGTCAAATGTAGATGGCCTCGGATCCCTTGTTGGCCTGATGGCCACCCGAGATGTACAGATTGTTGGCCGCCGGCGATTGCACGCCCTCGGACCAGTCCGAATTCGAACGTGGCGAAGATGAGGACCAGTGGCCGGGCGACTCCGGTGAGGGTGTGGGATAACTGTCCAATGTCTGGACGAGATGCTGCGGCGTATGTCCGCCCGAATGCTGACTGGGCGGCGTTAGGTACTGATAGAATGCCTGATTATGCTGCGACGACGGCGACAGCATATTGGTCGATGGCGATGAGCCAGACATTGAACTTTGTATCGAAGGCGGATTCATTTGACCCGAGTGAAATGAGTCTGTGAAGCAAAGAGGGAAATATAATTTGTAAATTATTTCTGTTTCTGTTGATGTGTTTCCATTGCAGGTTTCCATCACTTACCCGGAGATCCACAAAATCCATTCAAGTCCAAACCTGCTGAACCGAATTCCAGGCCTCCAATCTGCTGCTGTTGCTGCTGCTGCTGCTGCTGTTGCTGCTGTTGCTGCTGCTGTTGCTGATGTTGTTGCTGCTGCTGCTGCTGCTGCTGCTGCTGCTGTTGCTGCTGCTGTTGCTGTGGGGATAGCGTCTGCATTATTGCACTGCCCTTGGATGATTGTGGCGGGGCGAGCATAATGCCCATATCGCTGCCCGTGGGCGATATGATGCCCAGACTAACTGGTGAGCTCTGTTGCCCAACCTGGCCGCCGCCCAGCAAGCTATTCAGATTGCTGCCACCGAATTGCTTCTGCTGTGTGGCATGACGCATTGCCTGTATGTGCGTTGGCGATGTGGGCAAACTAGGACGTGATTTAGCTGGCGATGGAGAGCCTGCAAAAGGTGCGGCGATTAGCAAAAGGGAAAACCAAATGCAAATTTCTCTATTCAAGAACTTACCCAAGTAGGCATGCGGCGACAGGGCCAGACTGCTTTGCACGGAATGCGGCGGCGATTGATTCGAATACGGTGGACTGAGTCCCTGCTCATGGCTGTTGCTGTTGCCACCTCCGGCACCCGTCAGACCACCAACGAGGCCGCACATTCCACTTCCATTGCGATTGCCACCGATAATCCCATTACCATTACCATTACCATTCCCTCCACCATTGCCATTCATTCCCTGGAGTCCCTGGCCATTGTTGAGCAGCTCCTGCTGAAATGGCGAACCCATCGAGTAGCCATAATTGTCCAGCTTGATCATGTCCAGGCCATTGCCAGGTGGCAGTGATTGCAGCGATTGTGCATTCTGTGAGAGCAAAACAAAGAGCATTTTAGTTGCTGTCAAGGACTGAGGATTGAGAGCTGTCCTTTGGCTTACCTTAATGCAGTCCTCATAGCTCGGCGGCTGTTTGGCCCCATTGGGACCGTTGGGCTGTGGCGCGGCCATGGCATTCGAGTACATCGAATTGGTGTCGTATGGGCTGGGCAGGTTTCCGTTCATCCCGTTGACGCCCACACCCAGCGGCGAGGAGGCATCCAGCTCCGAGGCCATCACACTCCCCCCTCCCGCTGACGACAGCAGCGACGTGGGCTG